TTTGTACTTCTTAACCCCTTTACCTTTTTCACCCAGTCCCTCAACCCTCCTCCCTTTTGGCAACCATCAATTTGTTCTCTGTATCCATTAGTTTGTCTTTGTTTTGCTTATGTATTTATTTTGAATGGATTCTGAGTTCAATATCAATCCACAGGTACACAAGCCTTGTCAATGTCAGGGAAGAGCTGTCTATCTCTGGTGTTGGCGGCTTCTTGTCCTTGAGGGATCTTTGATGTCCATATACAGTAGTAAATGTCCATTCATGTTTAGGCACTTGATAGGTTCCTTCCAATAAGGTTGGAGAGTGTCTTTATTTGATGTCCTTACCAAGAAACAGAATCTCCAGGTGGCAATCAATGATCTTTTAAAGTCTTCGTCTCCTGGGAGTTTGCTGTGATAGGAAGTTGTTACTAACTTGGCATTTATTTTGAAGTGACTGTCAAACCTTGGCAGTGGTGTAAGAGGTCTCCTTTCAATAATGTCACCTTATGAGTTCTTTCATCTAGGTCTAGCTTAAATGTACTGTACTGTATGAACACATGCAGAAATTGAAAAAATGGGGAGGCAGGAAGCAGGGAAGAATCAAGCTAAGCTGCCGTTTTGGGTTTCCCATAGTCCCCGGCTATTCGTTTAATTTATAACCATTGTTTACCCATACACTATACCCTCAGAGTTTTTATCACTTATTTTACAATCCTTCCCATGCAATCCAAATCTTTTGAGGTGTTCCAGGGCCTTTCTGAAACATCGTAAAGTTATTCCTACATATATTGGTATTTTAACCCTTAAAACCTCAATTTCAAATGAAAACTAAGAAGTAAGCAATTAGCATTCTTTAGCTTGGACATCATATAACCTCTAGAAATACTTTCTATAGACATAAAAGTAAATTATTAACATGGACTCATTTCTGTAAAGCCCAGGCAAAATAACGACATGTCTGTTTTACTTAAACCAACAAATTTAAGCTAGCTTTTGTTTATTGAGGATTAATCTCAGATCACATGAGCTTGCAAAGCATTTGAGTTAGTTTCTATATTTCTGAGAATTTTAGAATACCCAATTCCTGCAAGCACTTGCCTTATTTTTTTTTAGCTGAGCCATCCTGCCACCTGCTCAGCTCGGGCCAGGACTTGAACCCCTGTTGCTCAGAGCTCACGCTCTTGAGCGAA